TGTTGCCCTCGTTAAGCGCATTAGAGCGCCTTTCCTCACCATATCGTATAGCGTCGAAGCGAGCCATCTCATGACGTCAAAAACTCGCAACTTAAATACACTGATTCAGCTTGTTTCAGCTTCACTCAATGTAACATATAAATTTTTTAATAAAACGTCAATAGCGTTGATACAACTCGCCGGGACGACAACATTTTGATTAGGGCTGTGCGAGTACTCGAAAAAACTCGACTCGTCGAGTTCGAGTTTTTTCCTCGAGTTCGAGTCGAGTACTCGATTTTTTGAGTACTCGAGTTTTTTCGGGTACTCGCGTTTTTGTCGAGTACTCGAGTTTTTTCGGGTACTCGAGTTTTTTCGAGTAATCGAGTTTTTTCGAATACTCGCAATATATTTAAGTTTTAAGTGAATAAATGATGAATTAACAGTCTCTAGACCCCTCCTTTTGTGTGTACGTGATTGTAAGTGTAATGAAGTGCGGTAAAATTAAATTATTTTCTTCTTCCAATCCAATCCGCTGCGAATATCAAACTTATAAGCATGTACACACAAAGAGAGGTGGTCTAGAAACTGTTGATTCACCATTTATTTACTTAAAAATTAAATACATGGCGAGTACTCGAAAAAAATCGATTATTCGAAAAAATTCGAGTACCCGAAAAAACTCGAGTACTCGAGAAAAAATCGAGTATTCGAAAAAATTCGAGTACTCGAATTTTCCCGACTCGACTCGAACTCGACTCGAACTCGGCGAGTCGAGTTCGAGTCGAGTAAAACTCGAAAAATCGGATACTCGCACAGCCCTAATTTTGATATTAAAAAAGAAGCACAGTTTTGTCTATTGCTCAATCTTCCAGCTGCTTGCGGTCTTCACTGAAAGAAATTTAGAAGCATATCTCTCTCTCACAGAGACCATAGCGCTCCAGGCACGCTGGTAGAAGAACTCTATGTGTTAGGAAACGTTACTGGCCAAGATTGGGAGCGTTTTGATCCCTAACGTAAGAGACCGTACTCGTTTTGCGTGTGCTTGACGATATTAGGTGAGTGGACAATTACAATACCGATGCGGTGGTATCGAAATTATCTCACAAGAGACAAGCGCGCGCTTGTCATGGGATCAAAACGCTCCCTAGTGAGATTAGATTCAACCGAGAATGAGGAATGATAATGGTCCGCCACTTTGTAGCGTAATGTGACATCGTGAGACAAAAACAATCCAAAATTTTTTTCAGTGTTATGACTGTTGAAGCCACATGAATTTTACTTAGTCAAAGATCGCAGTTAAAAAAACAAGGAACGTTACACTTTGGGTTATATTACATTGGACAAAAATCTAGCCACGAAGTAACGAGCATTTTTACAAAGAAATCGTTGATATTTTTTCCTGTCATAAACATTTTGACGGAAGCTAAGTAACAATGAAGTTTATGTGAAATTTGTATCGATCGATCGCTTGTTAAACAAACGAAACGCTTGTGTTAACGAGCCTTCTCGTAACAAAAAAAAACTGGCAAGAGGTAATGCACCACTGTTATAAATATAGCCATTTACTTTTCGCCTATTGATTAGCAGTTGTCGTTTACTAAACAAAGTCGAATCTCGAGAAAAGTTAACCTAATGATGCTACTACTTATTTACACTTACTGCAGCGGGAAAGAATTTAGATTAAAAAATCAAAAGTCCACCGAAGAGTATTTTATACCTAAATGCAGGAAGAGCAAAAAAATCGCACGTGTATTACGCACAGCCTCGTATACTTGTTACTCGCGTGTTATATACACGGTATCTCGGCTCGCTTTTTCGGGATTAATGTCCGCTGCAGCAGCAGCATTTTCGGAACGTGTACATATAATATATACACCGGACCGGACCGGGCCATGCTATACGCGTACACACGCGAGAGAGAAGAGAGACACGCTTTATTTGCTTACTTTTTTCGCGTTCGTCGACGCTGCAGCGCGACTTACCCCGCGAGTATATAATACGCACACACACACTTGTACCTATATACGTTTCGATTCTCGGAATGCGCATCGTTTCACTCGTTTCTTTTCTTTATTCTTCTCCTTTTCGTCTTGTTCCGTATACGCCGATTTCGCGCGAGCTTTCGACGCGAGCTCGGGGAGTGCAGCGCGTGGCTCCATCGATCACTTATATACACGCGCGAGCTACGTGGTTTATAATGCATTATATTCGCGGCCGATAGCCGAAATATAATCGATTACGTGCCATTATCGAGAGGTGTACACAGTGCGCACAATGAATAATAAGTCATCGCGAAACGAGCATGTATAATCAAGCTTATAATGCACCATATAATACTGCGTAATAGACAAAAAGTCAATTTAGCTATGCATGGAGGGGAGCCGCTGCCTCCTGGTACACGTCAAATGACTTATTACCGCACATATTTGAGAGACTCTACCGCCACCGCCGCAGCAGCAGCAACCGAGAGTTAGGCTAAAACTATCAAAGAGCCTAGGCAATATTCCGTATGTATACAATGTGAGCCTCGCGCGCGCAGCCTAGGAAAACTTTCTCTCGTTCGTTAACTTCGCTGCCTCTTAAATTTAAATCTATCCGTCTCATTAAGGCTGTATGCCGGAGTGTCGCAGCAGCAGCAGCGCAAGCTGCAGCGCGAGGCGCTATACATGTATATATTTACACGTTCTAAGTATAGAAAGCCATAGAGTCGGCTTATCTAATGTAATACGTGTGTGTACGCCTGCATCCTACACATACGTATATGCATACAGCAGACGATACCGATCTTATGGATATATAATATCGCGGCACACGATTCCAATACTCCTCCTCCTCCTTCGCCATCGGCTTTTTTAACGATATCTTTTTTTACTCCGCGAGTCCGAGTGAAACCGGATAATGCTCGTTTCGAGGAGAGAGAGAGAGAGAAGGAAAGACGGATTTAATGCTCTTGCACTATTGGGTACGGTTTTAAAAGGAGAGATAAAATTTAATTATCATCGCGGATTGTGCGCTGCTACATGCCGAAAATCGAAGCACTGGAAAAGTGTATAAATACACAGAGTCGCGTGGATACATAATACAACACTTTCTCGCGAGGGATTGAATAGCGATTTTTTTTCGTTAAAAAAAAGTCTTAAATCGCGCATCATCGCACCACTACCTATAACCACTGAACGTGAGAGATGCTCTCAGCATATCCCAGAAGCGGAGGTTTTAGGTATTATTCCCTCGCGTCGATGCATGGTTAAAGTTTATTCTCGCGCAGCAACTCACGTACTACTGGATCACGTTTATATATATATCGGACTTTTCAAGCGCTTAAATTGCCTCCGCTAATATTGCGATCGAAGATCTGATTAGACGTTTTATATATATTACACACATCTATACGAAATAGCGATCTTATCGTATTTTCTACCTTCCTTCCATCTCCCTTGCGAAAAAGCTTTATAAGCTATATATTCCTTCTCTCTCTTTTCTTTTAAAATGCATGAATAAGCGTAAAAGTAGCTCCACACATACACAAGCCAATACCGCTAATACGATTTTCTCCTTGTTCCTTATAAAAAAGATTTCATTTTACAAATGTGCCTTGATTTTCTGTAGACAATTTTGTAAGAGCTTATAATAATTACGCCACTCTCTCTCTCTCTCTATCTCTCTACCAGAGTCATAAAGAGATTACGTAAATCTCCGTAACGCGTTACAAACGAAATTAGTCGTGGTCGTCGCTGCTTTACGCGTGCTGCTGCGGGAGGCGCCAATTTGCAGAAATACACGCGAGGGCTTAAATACGAGAATCCAAAAAGTAAAAGAGAGAAGAGAAAAAAAAATAAGGCGAATGAGTAAAACGACTGTAAATTCAATTACGCGGAGCTTCCCGCTCGCGAAGAAGAAAAGCGAAAATAATACGTAAGTGTATTCGTGTGTATACCGTCCGCACACAGACACGCATCGATCCACAACCCCTCACAGAGCCGCGAGCAGCATCAGCAGAGGTTCTCAGTTTCCACCTCTGGCCTATATGTAGTATAAGCGCACAGTAGCGTCATATACTTGAGCTTTTCCCGAGCAACGCGAAACTCGTTATGTACTCTCCTCCGAGCGCAGATATAGCCAGCTATATACTACCACTACTGCTGAACTACCATCTGTGCATACACAGCAGCAGCAACAGCAGCAGCCGCCTCTGCTATAGCTGGTGCACAGACTCATTTTTTGTAATGTTTTCGTTATAGTATAGGCGGTGGTGGAGGGTAGGTATCTATATACTCGAGCCTTTTTTCTCGCGAGCCGCGTGCATAAAAGATATGTTATATATATAACTACGCGAGCTACGCGTATATATGAAATAGAGAAAGAGAGAGAGAAAACTGTTTTCATTATAGCAATGGGATGAGAGGACTTGGCTACGTGAAAGTATTTTTCTTTTCCTCTTTTTTCTTTTTATTCAGCATCGTGCATACACCACTATACGCTGTAAAAGAGAAGCGCAGCTCGGAGGGCGGGGAGTTTTGTTTTTCCCTTTGAACCTCGCGATGAATGGAAACGCATCTTCGCGTGAAAATTCAATTAATTTGCGCGAATATAATGTACGTAATGTAATAAATATAAATGGATCTACGTCGTCGTGCCGCTTGGGAACTTTTGACGTTTGCCGTACCGTCTTGTATATATGATAATATCTAGGACGCCAACTATTAATTCGAGGCTTCCGCGTGGGAAGGGGGTGACTTGGCGTCAAGCCCATTATACACCCTATCAAACTTATTATAAAAAATGATGATCGCTGAGAGCGCAGCGCAGTAGTGCCTATGTTATATATAATACGGAGTCTGCGAAGGCAAAGTTACTTTCCATGCTGTTCGATATATCACCGGGTGCGAGATATACGATATGAGAAAACTTGGGAGGGCGAATTTTATGGGCTATGAGTGGTGTATATATACGGTATATACCACTCGATGTTATATTGTAATATATATAGATATATATGTTGCTGCTTCCTCTCTTACCGTTGTTGCGCAGGATCGAGCCAGGACTGGTGGCCTCCAGAGGGCTGCTCGGCAGCTCCTCGCTGCTCGGTTCCCTCTTCACGCTGCAACACGGAGAAAAGAAAGAAAAACAGATTATTATCAATATTTATACTTGCAAGCGCGAACAAAGTCGGCATTTGTTGGTTTTTGAAATTTTGCAGAAATGATAATAAAAACAAGGGAGAAAGAGAGAGAGAGAGAGAGCTGTCTTATCATTTGCGGCAACTTTGTCACCCCCCTCTTATACGATTTACTTTGGAAAAGTGCCGCGAGATAAAAAAAATCTGGATAAAAGCGCAGCTAAGAGAAATAGAGCATCGCGCGGGCATTTTTATATATAAAATAAACTCTGTGAGCGGCTGCGCGCACCACTCATCGAACAAACAAAATGAAAAACTTTACGCACACATCCGAAGACTCGTGCGCGACGGCTCGAGGCTTTTCCCAAGCGACTACCCTGCGCTACTCTGTGCGACTCGAATTTCAAGATCACACAAAGTCTTGCGCAACTCGCGCGCTTGTATTAGTGTGTACAGTGGAAATCGCATAATTTTAAGTTCTGGGATCAATATTTGGTCTCGAAATGTGTGATAATTCTAATTTTCTAGTAACCATGTGGTTCGATTTTTTTTCAATTATGCTACAGTAATATGTATTTAATACTCTCTAATATACTCCGTACAAGGTAAACTGACCGATTATGCCATAATCAGAGCAATCATGAAGAATCTTCAAGTGTCAGTTGAGTGACATGTAAAAATTAATAAAGAACAACTCACGAATTGGCTCTTACTTAAATCTAGAACTGTACTTTTTCTTTTGTGGTCTTCTAGAATTCGAACTCGCACCACCTAGCGGTAACTCACGTACCATTTGAAATTTCGCTCAACCGGAGTAAGGCTAATAACCGAAATGTTGCCGAAAAGATTCGTAACAGTATTGAGTGTACTTCTAGGACTCTAATTTATAATTAACAAACATTTAAACAAAGTTAAAAGTGTTAAATTTGAATTGAAATATCTGATAACTCGAAAATTTTTATTTAAAAAAACGATTTGTGCGATGTTTCCTTCGATTGATGTTACTTTTTTAAACGTTGTTTAAAATGAAATTTGGTTGAAACTATTTAAGCACTTCAAATTATACGATAATTTCAATTAAATGAGTTTGAATTATATGACTTTCACTGCGTGTACGGACCACGTATGTTCTACACAAGAAGAGAAGTTAAAAAGTTATCTTTAGACGTTTTTAGCTCTGTCAATTTTGGCGCTGCATAAATCCACCCATATCTGATTTATTATGAAGGTACACGGCAGCGATGGTACTGCGTCGAGAAAAACGTTAACGTGAAAAGGCGCTTGACCTATTTTCAGGTCCAATTTACAAGTTCCAGACGCTTCGGTTCATCTCGAAAAAAGTCTAATTTTTGTAACACGTTGAAGAGTTACTTATCATCTTCGACGCGTTTTTTAAACCTCAACTTGGATGAGTGCGACGCATTAATTTTCTAGATCTTAGTAGGTCGTATCTTCTAGACTTTTCAAACGTATGGTTAATATAAATATGTAATTTTGCAGGCGATGAAAATGCCCATGCGAAAATAAGATCTTTTCTAATTTCAAAAACAAAGGCCGGAAGAAATGTTCAATATTATGCGATTAGTATTAATTTCTCATCAAATTGTCGTTCTAAGGTCATTTAAAATGCACTCAATGATTTTCACAAAATTGGAACAGAAAAATCGCCAAAAACATGCCAACTATAATGGTAACGTATTTTAAAACATTTCAAATGGTCATGGTTTGGTTATTATGTCATAATTAATATTAAGCATTTTTACCAACGATTAATGAAATAAATTAATATTCGAATGACTCAAAGAATATCGTTCATTCGAACCGCTATTAGTATATTTTGTAACAAGTGCGCGAAGCAGTTGACTCATCCAGGAGTTGTTTTCACCCGAGCGTAGCGAGGGTGCAAAGACTCCTGGGTGAGTCAACTTCCTCGCGGACTTGTTGCAAACGATATTTTTTAACTCTGCTTGCGAGAAACTAGGGTTTTCTGACGATTTAAGGTTAGAAAGCCCGTGTTTCGCGCACGCTGTGTTAAAAAATTAGTAACACGAGTTAGGCCATTTAAATAAAAAATTTTCCGAAATAAAAGTGAATAGAAATATCAAAATTGCACTTTAAGAAAGCCAATGAACACTTTGCAGCATAAGAGAGATATGAGTGGTATCAGCGTTAGACGGAAAGGTGTAAAAGGGATCGATCGTTTTTACGTTTTTCCGTCGAAGCTTTATTGTTTCGATTGACCTTTAAATTTAAACGTCTGTAGCCTGGAAATCGGTCTCGAATCTAGGTTAATGCTTTTTCTCTTTTAAAGTTGATTTTTCAACTGTTTGTGATTATGATAATCCAAACAAAACATTTATTAACAGGCTGATGGAATTTGTATGATTTAGATTTGATGCGACGACATAGACATTACTTCCAGCAGAATAAGTCAGAGTAAAAAGATATATTTTTCGGAATTTATATCACATAAGAAAATTTTTTTGGGGTTTTAAAATATCAAGAAAAGAAAAAAGTAAAAGAATTAAAAAGGTGATAATTAAACAATTTTAGTTTGTTTCGTGATTCATGAATTATTAAAGAGCTACAACGAAAAAAATACCTTAAAAGTATTTTCATTATGCATTTAGTAAAAATCTTAGAAAACAAGTTCGAAAATATTTTATATTTTCCGAGATATTTTCGAAAATATCTTATATTTTATATTACAGTACCCTTAAAATTTACTAAAACCAGAGGTTTTTGTTGCATAAAATATATTTACAATAAATGTATATTTACAATAAATGTTACAATTTTCTCAAAATCAATTTAATGATATAAGTTTATTCACTCGATAAGTTTTTATATAGCATTACTTAACAAAGTATTTCGCAGGCATATTATTATTACAAGTGAGTACTGACTTTAATACCACAGGTTATATGGAATGTATACTAGACGACACACGTAGGAAAGTTTTAATTTTAAAGAGTTCAACGAACTAGATGCAGAAAAAAAACTATGAAACACGATGAAAGTTATTTATTATAGTTATTGATACAGTACAGTTGACGATAATCGAGTTTTTAGGTCGAGTCAGTCCCATCGCTTCATCGTCGTTCTCGAGGTCGAAAAAAGAAAAAAAATCGTCGGAACTTACCGACACGAGTCGAGCGATATATTGAAAAAGGTATATCCTACTACGAAGGTGTCGCGAGAACCGAGAACGCAATATAACAAAGGAGATCGTGGCTCGCGCGAGAAACTCGTTATCCTCATTTTAATCGATTAGATTCTATTCGCGATGGAATTCGATTAGTCGTGCCGTGCCGTGCCGCAGCAGAGGTGCGAAGGACGACGACGATAGACGTTTCGATGGGTGTCACAGCAGTTCTGCAGCGCTCGTCAACCTCGTCGCAGCAATATAATGTTGTGTACAAATTTAACTCGATATACTCTCGTGGTTCGTCGCGTTCGAATGACATTTTTTAATGGGTATGATAAATGGGACGGTCGATCGATGTTAAAATCGATTTTTTTTGTATACAGGAAGTAGATTTAATAGATTTTTAAAACAGATTATTATATATTATACAAGATCCTCGCTATTCTCTCTTCCGAGATACATTTCAATAATTTCCATTCGATATCGTTACAATACGTGCCCCGCTGTAACTCGAGAAAATCAGACGTGTGTTACGATCTCGCGATACAACAACAATCGAACGCAAACGCGAATCATCTCACGCGTGCACACGTCGATAAGCGAGATGCGGGACGGATTATAAAATTTCCTCTGCAAAGCGTGTCCTCTCGACGGGAATTTTCCGATACACAATTCGTCTTTTTTTGTTTTCCATACGTATCGGCATCGAGCCGCGCAACCCCTACCACTTGATCCTTTGCCCGGAAAGTCCAGTATACATATATACAGAGGCAACAACATCCAGAGGATAATGCAAATAAGTTACGAAACGTACACACACACATGTACATACATGCATACAAACGAAGTGGGAAACGCGAGGGAAAGGGAAGGGGGCACATCCAGAATTGCAAAATAAGGCCGCAACGAAGCGTTAACGCTCTGTGCGGCTATCGCGAAGCTCACCTTCCAGCACACTCACACACAGACACGTATATAACGTAGTGCAGGTATGCATTCGTATGTATGTGTAAGTGTACAAGTTGGAACCCCCAAAAGCTCCCTCGCGCCTCCACATATGTGTACACACGCGCGCGCGAGGGATATAGAGAGAAAAGCGAGTAGAGAGAGAGGTCTAAAGCCTCCAGAGAAATCAACGTGTGCGAGCGAGAGTCGAGCTTACAAAGCTCTGCTGTGTATGTGTACGCCGCGTGTAACAACGCACACGTATTCGTAGTAGTAGTAGTAGTACCCTCTTATAACCTACCTACCTACCTACCACGTCTGGTACGTGCGTGGTGTGCTTTTACATCTTTAATCGTTTTCGAGAGAGAGAACGAGAGAGAGATAGAAAATATATGTATATATTGTATAAGCAAGTGTGCTGCTCTGGTGGTGCTGCGCTCCGAGGCACTTAACGATTGCATTATTCAAATCATTACCGCCGCCACCACCCCCGCTATATGTCTGTTACTCTCTCTCTCTCTCATTCACTCGCGTGCGTGAACGTTATTCCTTCCTCTTCCTCTTCCTCTATCTTTCTCGTTCTCTCGCTGTTACTCGTCGTATTTGAGTTATGTCGTTACATAATTCGCGAGTTTTATCATCCCTCCTCTTCCGCCTTCCTCTTTATACTCCAGCACACGCGGTATACACGTTATTTATTTCGGACGTTCGACCATTCGAATATCTGTCTACGCGCGATTCGAATATAGGTACGTAACGTGAACGGTCGAACCGCACGAGCGGCGATCGACGGCGATTTGGTAGCGGGTAGTTACAGTGGCGGTGCACACGCGTGTCGTTTCGTACGTCATAATATCGTCACCGAGCATAGCTGCTAGATTAATAAATAAACAAGAAACCTAACCCCCCGCATTAACGGACGGAGTTTAATTGATGCGAGCGCGCAGGGGATGATAGACACGAATTACACTTTTTTATTATTTGCGTAACGTCGTATACCGACTAGATGTGTAATAATGTAGCGTATAGCCATTCTCTCTCTATCTGGTCTTATGCAGTTATAATAACCGGAAGCTACTATAGCATCGCGTCGCATTGGCAGCAGCACGTATACACACGCGCTTGTGTGTACCACATTTATGTGTATCGTATTATTCTCTCTATCTTATATGCACACTTTATAAAAGCCGATATATACGATATACGCGTCTATATAGCAGTGGTAGTAGGAGAGAGTAAGCAAGCAAGTAGTGGTGGTAGTAGTAGTAGTAGTAGTAGGCGACACACACCTGATGAAGGTCGTGTCGGCCGAAGGGCTGGATGGAGCTGGCGATGAGCTCGCCGTGGAGGCCGTGTTCGTCTCCTCCACGTCCATCATATCTCATATCTTCCTTGATTTCCTCTTCGCAGAAAAACAAAACAGAACACTGAATTTTCAAATTAAATGATAATAATCACGCACTGCAGAACTGATATATATTTTATTACAGAACACACAACACTGATTTATAGGTAGCGACGACGACGACGATCACGAGCAACCCCCCGCGCGCCCACGCGACTTCCCGCCGTTCTTCTTCTTCTTCTTTTTTCAGCTACTTCTCTACTCTCTATACAACTTGACAGATTCGATTGTGCTACCACTGCTGCTGCTGTGTATACACACGTGTGTGGGTGTGTGCATTCGAGTACTTGTAATAATAACACGCGTACAGGTATACTTGGGAGCTTGCACACATGGACACATATATGCAAGCTGCTGCTGCACACAAATACACAAGAGGGAAACGAGTTTTAGCGAGGGTGGGAGAGGGACAAGACGTCCGTCCACGACGACGACGATGCACAGCACGACGGGACCCTATCTAGTAGTATACGAGGGAAGGAACCGCGAACGCGCACGTCAGACGACGACTGCTGCTGCTGCTGCGGTGGCTTGCTTGTGGGCAGAGAGAGAGAGAGACGCCCTCCTCCCTTGCGGCGCGCACACGCGAAGGCTGCTGCTGCTTCTGTGCAGAAAATCGCACAACCCCTGGGATTTGTCAGACTCTCTCTTTGTGTATGTATGTATGTGTACGTATATAATGTATAGTGTGTGTGTAGGGGTGCCTCTCGCCCGCCACCACCACCACCACCACCGTCGACTGCTGTTGCGACTTGCGAGGGAGGAGCAGCGTTGTTAGAACGAGCCGCAAACATGGCTGCCTCACTGTTTTATCGACTCGACTTCGTTGACTTTTTCGGTGTAGCCAACTTATGAGTGCGGGCAATTTCAAATATACTTTGTAAAGCATACACTATAACTTGTACATGTACACGCGACTATTTCGTTGTTTTTTCAGAAAAATAAATAATTCATCCGATGCCGTTTATTTTTTAAGAAGTGGTATCGCTCACCACGGTAACACCATAAATGAAGGACATTATTCGGCTTTTTTAAATATTGAAAACGTATGGTATCACGCAAATGACGATACTGTCGAAACTAAGAATTTTGAACAGTTAAAAACAATCATTGAAAATGATGCTTATATATTAATCTATGAAAAAAAAATAAATTAGCTGTTGAAACGAATTCAAAGAGTTTTCTTTATTTCTAAACTTTTGTTTCCAAAAGAGCGTGTATATACACCTGCACATGTTCGTGATTCTCAAAGTTGGCTACACGTAGAAAGTCAACGAAGTCGAGTCGATAAAACAGTGAGGCAGCCATGTTTGCGGCTCGTTCTAACAACGCTGGGGAGGAGAGAGGACCTTGATTTTTCGTAAATACCGCGCCACCTGTCGCAGCTCTTCGCGTAACCGTCCGTCGTTCTGTGTTATTGTTTGCAGCTCTCTCATGCGCTGCTGCTGCAGTCGGACTGAGCCGCGTGTTATCAGTCGAGTGGCTTCTATCGATTTTTATGCGAGATTCTCGCTTCCGTATGTGTATCAAGGGAAGAGGGATACTATTTTTTTATAATAGATTTGTGTATGCATTATTTCTTAAGAAAAACAAATTTATTCGTTACTTCTCTACAAAAACTGCTCGAAAAACGCCGTTTTATAATTCAATTTTATAAAAAAAAATTTCATCGTTATTGCCAGTATTTCATAGTAATAATAATAATAATACAAATCTAGATAAAGTATATCTAAACGGTGGTTGAAACGCGCATTTTGTACGACACAAAATGACGCACGAACGTTTCGCCGACTAAAATTGGGAAGATCAGCGATGCTTCGGCGTAAATCTGAAAAGTAAAAAATTACTTTTAGTATTAAAATATCTTTGATCGTTGTTTTGTTGTTTAACAATTATATGTACCTTTACTGCTTTAGAGTCTTTCTTTATTTTTCCCCATGAAACTGCTTCATCAGGCCTTGCTCCGCTATCGCTACCATCGAACTCGTTGGCTGTATTTAAAAATACTCCAAATTCTGCACCATTCCTCTGTAAGATAAATTTTAGATGGATATATTTACTTGAAGATAATAATCTGGAAATTATTTACATCTTATTGATACATACCATGAGATTCGCATTACAAATGTGATGCTTCACTACACCTCCTCCAATTATAATGACTCCACTTCTTATTGCTTTCATGGCTATTGTATTGATTCTTCTCAGATCTAAACACATAATAAAATAATTATTAAATCAATTTAAAATCAATTGCTTGAAAAAATTTATACTAATAACAATTATTACCTGAAACAATGTCTATGACAAGGCCAGGATCATTTTTGAACGAATGGAAATACATCATATCTCCAAGACTTCCGTCAGTTAATGCAGGACAAAATACTGGAATTTTATTTTTGGCACACCAGTAGTATATAGATTCTCTATTATTTATTTCTTCTCCTAGCCTAGCAATTACTTTAGACGGGGTCCATAAGGTACCCTGAAAAATTGATGATTATTAAAATGATACCAAGATATCTCACTAAAAAATTATGTGAATGATCATACTTTTTCTTTTTGTTCTTCTAACATTTTATCTAAAATTGGCATGACCCAGTTTTCAAAAAGGCAGTAGTTATCATTAGGTACTAGTAAATTGCCTATTCTATTGATACCCCTATCCCTGAGGGTTTTTCCATCCAAATGGAAATCGCCTACAAGAGTTGGGGCTAAACATTTAATAAAATCTTCTTCCACACCACCCGCAGTTGTGACTATACAATCGATCTGTAAAAACAATAATAGTTTTAATAACTATGTATTATAAACAGTAAAAAAAAACAATTTTAATTTACCATTCTGTGCTCGGCAAGAAATCTTATGGTTTCTCTAACACCACACGATGCCATATTCGATGTGTAACCTAAAAATATAGTGCAACCATGCCTCCTCTTGATAAACTCATCCTCTTCTAAATTGTCCTCTTGATCCGGTTCGAGTGGTATTCTACGAGCCACGAGCATTCTGAGAATTTCCTCCACCGCCAGTCCAAAATTTGTTGCTTGGAAGCCAGAGTGTCGATAAGTTCTGAACAGGGCTGAGTAATTGATTCCATCGTTAAAGTCATAACCTGCAAAAAAGATTTTGATATTATCATGAATTAGAATTATGAATTGTGAATTAGAATCATTGAAAGAAAACGATATGGATGCATACCTTGAACGGATGGCGTTGAGGTTGGCAGTGGAGCACTGTGTTTCAGTACATTGTGCAGCAAGGATTCAGGCACTTTGTTTTCACTCTTTTTGGGATCCAACGCACGTGCCTCGTCCTTGCCTTTGTCATCCTCGCTCTCTGTCACTTTACTATCGTCTTTTTTCGACTCGACAAGCTTCGTCGACTCCTTGGCTGCTGCAGCACTCGTTGCACTGTCGACGGCATTGTTATTCGACGCACCGGTGGCTTTACTGTTTTCTTTTGTCGTCGAAGCCGCGGGAGTAGTAGTAGCAGTGGCAGCGGTGGCAGTGTCAGTGGCCGTGGTGGTGGTTGTTGTTGTTGTTGTCGTTGTTGTCGTCGCTGCCACCGACGACGATGACACACTGTTATCGTGCTCGTGTCCGGTCGAGATGACGGAGTCGCACATGTTTGAAAACTTTTCAGCCTAATACACTTAATAAAAATAACGCCGCTTGCACTGTACGCCCGGTGCACACACACTCGCACACACTAATTTGTATTTTCTACGACTGCCTCGCCCAGGTAAGAGCGGCGAGTTTTATAATAGACGTCGAGACCGGGCCGACTGTCATGAGCCTGGAGTTTCCTAGCAGACAGTAAAAGACGCCGTGTAGAGAAATACTATGTACGTGCTCCGGTGATCGGTGCTATGTGGATAGCGCGAGAGATAGTGTATGTACAAGCAGTAAAAGTTTATATATGCGAACAGCAGCGTTTTGGAAGGCCTGGAAAGATTGCGTCTGCTGAGGCGGGGACGCATGCGCGACTCCGAAATACACAGTCACTCGCCGGCGTCGTCTGCGGTGCTTGCCTGCCTGATGACAGCGACTCCGATCTGGAAAGAGACACAGACCGTCGTTTAAATACCTCGACTGAGATAGGTATGTGTAATTATTTGCGCTGATTTTGGGTGTTTTTATTTATAAGTTATAATAATTTGATTCGAGTGAATGTTTTTCGTAATGAGGATAATACTGAAAAATTACTCGCGGTGTCCATTGTTAGAGAAATCTAAAAAGAAAAATATCGAATGCGAGCATTTTTCAATTACATTCTGCGATTATGATCTACTCTTAATCTATCCTTATTGGTACTAAATGCAATTAAAATCAAATAGTTTACCAAAATACATCGGAGCATCAACGCATCGATGCTCTTGTCCTATCGCGTCCTTTTAAATTCCCGTCCTCTCATTATCGCCTTGCATATTTGCTGCGTCTGCATGTAGTCGAGCGCCTCGCGCGCACACCCATAGACTCAAGATATTTTCCTCTCCCGCTGCTTCGTCTCGCGCACACATCCTTTCACGCGTCTCGATATCTAAGGGTTGCGTCGCGTTGGATTCTTGCGATCCTCTCTGCCGCTGTGCTGTATACTGCAGTGCAGAGGCACATCGTTGCCAAATGGTGCGTCTCGCGGCTCGTTTTTACGCGCGATAATCTCGCGCATTTTGTGTACACGCGAGCGAGCCTCGTAGAGAGGTCCAGGCGGCAACGTCGCGCTCAGTACTTATTGCTGCTGCTGCTGCTATGGCCAGATTCTCTCTCGATTCTGTATTACTCGTCTTCGCGCCGCACGGCATCAATTGGTGATAATTCGAAGATGGATTCTCGGTATTTTTTATTTTCTTCATGTAATGTGAATATGTTGCGAACACTAAAAAGTTCGATAAGATTATGTATTTATTTTTTCTTTCCCCGATAAGCAACAAGTAAAAGTTATCTAATGCGCGCCTCGTTCGATCGGCTTTTTGAAACGTGAAAAAGACCCGTCGAACGTCACCGAAAGCCCGGCGCGCCGCGCGAGACACTTGCTGTACTGCCTATACATTAACAAGAGATAATCGGATTCTCTCTCCCATAGAAACTCGATATAGCACTTGTATTAGGAGTCGCGGACTCTCTTATTGAAGATCATTGCTCCCGCGCGTCACGTAAGCGCGTAATTGAATCGATGTACAGTTTCGGAAAGATATCCCCGAAACGGCGTCGTCCAAACTTTCTCGCGTCGAAGCAGCAGCGGCAGCAAGTGTATATACCTACGCTTGTGTTAGTGTACAAATACACACACACACACACACACAACGAAGCTTTAGGCGTCATGCGCACTCTCGACTTGTATACTCTCCGGACTCGGCCGCGCCGCGAGCCGTGGCAGTCCAGACTCTCTCGACAAAGGCCTATTGCTGCTGCTGCTGCTGCTGTACTGTATTATAAATGTATGTGTGTGAGTGTATATACGGAGCCACAACACACACTGTACGTGTATACACGTCGGGAGACTGCGTGCCAGTCCGAATCGACGCGTCGTCTTGCGTACTACCGCGCGAGCGAACTGCCCGGCCCGACGACGAGTGTGTGTCTGTGTGTACATAAAATATATACAACGCGTGAGATTCAGCCGGAGTGAGATTTTCGACGTTTAAACACCCTCGTTGGTTTCTTTCGTTTGACGTTTTTTTTTATATTTTGGGGCGTGTGTAGGGAAAGAGCATCGCCCTCGACGTCGACGTGAAAGAAAAAGCTCGGCATTTTCGTCATCGAACACAACTGCAACACGTTTCGTTCTGCGGCGTGTGTAATATAGAGATATAATCAAAGAAAAGGTTCGTAATTTTCTCTCTTATCTTGGACTTGTCAAGTTGACGTTTGTCGTAATCTAACGTCCGTAAATATCGATTTCTGCTGACGACAACACGTAACGATAGACATGTGTATAACGTCATGCATAGTGGACCCTCTTTTTTGTCTCTCTTTCTCTCTAGCCATGGTGTGACTCACGAGTGTCTGTGCATGTGTTTATCTGTCATGCATATATGCATATTACAGAACTGAACAAAAATCGCAGGACTCAGAGATTTATTTTTTAATATTATGCTGTGCGTGCGAGAGACGAAAAGTTTAACATTAGTCACGGCAGGTCGTTAATGAAATTCTGCGTTTGCTTATACTCGCGCTAATTCGTTGCATAAAACAACGAGTTGTTAAATAATAATGATTTATTTACTCGAGCCTCGTTTACGACATTGTTTATTTTATAACTCGTTATGTTATACGTGGATATGTACACGCAAAAGAGCAGCAGAGCTTCGTGTGCACACAGCTGCACGTATAGCACCGAGCGCATTGACTCGTTCAATGTTAATGTTCGTATTGTTTCTTAACGAGATAGCGAGTGAGAGAGAGAGACAATTAATCTATAGGAATGTTCATGGAATGATAAATATCTCCTTCTGTCCGTGCAATGATTTCTTGCAGAAAACGATTCTTGTATTCGAAGAAGAGAGCGAGGCCTTGGGCGCTCGGTAGGATGTAATTTTCGTAATGAGATTCTTCAAATTCGCTAGAAATAGCCGAGAAGCCTATTGCCTCCGCGCGCACTCGAGTGTTTGTTTTTCTTACTTTTTACCGCGGTAAAAAATGATCTATTTCTCTGTCTCTCGCAGCTTGTGTATTATCGACGTCCGACTCCGAAATAAATGTCACCCCGACGGATTCGACAAAGATTTACTCTTTCCATTAACGAAAAGCTCTCTCGGAGGACCTTGAACCGAATATCGCTTTATTGTTCTCGAGCTTATTTAATTTTGGCTTTCGCGCGTGCACTCGTATTATTTTTGGTACGAGAGAGTGCACAGCTCTCAATGAGCAACGGGCACTCGATCGAAATTTCACAAACCGAGCTCGTACACGTTTTATAAGAAATGAACCTTTTTTTGGGCGCAGACATGCCGATCACCAAGATCTGCTGCATGGGCGCGGGCTACGTCGGCGGGCCGACCTGCAGCGTGATCGCCCTCAAGTGTCCGCACATACGCGTCACCGTGGTGGACAAGAGCAGCGAGCGCATCGCCCAGTGGAACTCGGCCAAGCTGCCGATCTACGAGCCGGGCCTCGACGCCGTGGTGCAGAAGTGCCGCGGCCGCAACCTGTTCTTCTCCACGGACATCGCCCAGGCGATCGAGGAGGCCGAGCTCATCTTCATCTCGGTCAACACGCCCACGAAGCGCTTCGGCAACGGCAAGGGCCGCGCGGCCGATCTCAAGTACGTCGAGAGCGCAGCGCGCATGATCGCCGACATCTCGGCCGGCGACAAGATCGTCGTCGAGAAGAGCACGGTGCCGGTGCGAGCCGCCGAGAGCATCATGAACATACTGCGCGCCAATCACAAGCCCGGCGTCTCTTACCAGGTATGCGCGGAGCGAGCTCGAGTCAAAGCTCGGTGCAAAAGCTGTGCGCGCGTCGAATATATATCCGTTGTTATATTATATTTTTAGATACTCTCGAATCCGGAATTTCTGGCCGAGGGCACGGCGATCGACGACCTGCTGAACGCCGACCGGGTGCTGATCGGCGGCGAGGAGTCGCCCGAGGGCCAGGCCGCCATCGAGGAGCTCTGCAAAGTCTACGAGCACTGGATACCGCGCAAAAACATCCTCACCACCAACACCTGGAGCTCGGAGCTGTCCAAATTGGTATATCGTTGTTGCATAACGATAATGATTTTTGTGCTCACGTAACCTTTCTTGTTGTTGTTTGTCGACAGGCCGCCAACGCCTTCCTCGCCCAGCGCATATCGAGCATCAATTCGCTGTCGGCCGTGTGCGAGTCGACGGGCGCCGACGTGTCGGAGGTCGCCCGCGCCGTGGGCCTCGACTCGCGCATCGGCTCCAAGTTCCTCCAGGCCTCGGTGGGCTTCGGCGGTTCCTGCTTCCAGAAGGACATACTCAATCTCGTCTACATCTGCGAGTGCCTGAATCTGCCCGAGGTGGCCGCTTACTGGCAGCAGGTGATCGACATGAACGAGTATCAAAAGTCCCGATTCTCGGCCAAGGTGAGAGGCAATGTGCGCGTGAAACGACGACGATAAAAAATAATAATAAAAAAAAAAAGCTCTCGCGGCCGTGCGTGCGACGATTCTGTCTGTCTATCTATCTATCTCTGCCTGTCCGTTGCGCAATCCTCGAACTCAATTGGAATTTTATTATTGCCGCTATCCGCGCAGTAACTTCTTCGAACTGCACGCGAGCGCGATCGATGAAAAAAAAACTGTATATGATAATAAATAAAAAGAAGGCATCGGAACAAATGCCATTGTCGCTGCTTCTTCGAATCGCAATGAGAAGCGATTGGAATCGAGTGCTAAATTTTTTATTTCTTTCGCAGGTCATAGAGTCTCTGTTCAACACCGTGACCGACAAGAAGATTTCCATTCTCGGATTTGCCTTTAAGAAAAACACGGGCGACACTCGCGAGTCTCCCGCGATTCACGTCGCACGCACTTTGATCGACGAAGGCGCCAAACTGCACATTTACGATCCCAAAGTAAGTCGCACAAAAAGCAAATGAGAAATAATACGAACAAAAATATAAATCTCGATTCTTTTTTGTCGATCGCGCACAGGTGGAGGAGTCGCAGATCATGTCCGACTTGAGTCACTGCGGCGCGACTCTGGAGCCCGAGCTGGTGAAATCTCGCGTGAGCATATTCAAAGATGCCTACTCGGCCACGAAGAACACCCACGCGATCGTCGTGTGTACCGAGTGGGACGAATTTGTTGAGCTCGACTACAAGCGCATCTACGCCGAAATGATGAAGCCAGCCTACATATTCGACGGCCGAAAAATCCTTGACCACGATAAGCTACAGAAATTGGGCTTCATCGTGCAAACGATCGGCAAAAAGTTGAAGCGCACCGCAATATCCAGAGCCTGGGGCAGTCAGAACCTCTCGTAGTACAGAAAGAGTAGCAGAGACAGCAGTTGAGACGCTATACGTACGACAGTTTACAACACGCTGCTGCACATCGCTGAAAGCGGATGCAGCAGTGCCTTCTCTCTCTGTTTCTCTTTTGACGAAATGAGCAATGTTTTTGATAATTGCTAGGGAAGAATTTTTGGTTTTTTTTTATACATTTCTCGATGAATTAATCACTGCCCAATTTTAAAATAATTTTATTTCATTCGTACGTTTGCCTATATAGCAGCAAAGTTGCAAGCTCTATTTTCTCATTTTTTTGTTGTTCTAATCAATCAGTTATTTTAACGAATGATCTTTTTAGCATTACTTTTTTTTTGTAAAAATGTATCGTATCGTTGTATTTTTTCTATTATTCACGACGAGTAATCTCAAGAGTATTATTTAGAAGTATAAAGTTGACAAACGGTCGATTATTATCTGTGCAATACATACGAAATACTCTACCATATATATTTTACTATTTATATGTAAAGCATAACTCAAATTATAACTTTTTGTACTCGCAGACACGAACGATAGTATCGTGATAATATATATAAAAGTTCACGCACGACTCTTAGTGCATTGTTGATAATGTAAATCTCAAATCTTCGTCAATTGTAAAGACGCATTGTATTTAAAAAAACGCGTCAAAGAGCTATGTAAATAAATAAAGAAGTTTATTATTCTTTATACAAAATCGATAATATCGTCAATTTATTGATTTCTTTGCCGAATACACACGTTCGAATTCCCCGCTGAATAGCTACACAACGACAATAATAGTTATTACAGTTTACTACAACTTTGCGCGAAAAGTCGCGCACTCGGATTATACTGTTTACATTAGAGATACTCGCGACATCAAAGTACGACACTGTGTTTCAAATAGCGCTCCTCATAGCATGTAGTATTAGGGTGGTTCGCTTTTGCAAAAATGTTCAAAATCGAGTATACGTCATGGCGATTCTTAAAGTTCAAGTCTTTACGAAAAGAAAGCCGGGTTCAGAACCTCAAAAAAGTGTCGGGAACCGTTGTCGATCTGTGTGTGTGTTTGTACCTTCGAGTGGTAGTCAGCGGAGCGTCCTTGTTTGTGCAACTTGGTGCCGTGTGCGATTTGACGATGTCAAGTCGTGTTGTAACGGACATCGAATCGTTCACATTTTTGTGAGTATGTGATCATTTGTGTGTCTATACATGCATTTGCAATGTGTGTTTGTGTTTGTGCGTGTAGTGACGAAACATGTCAGCAAATAACATCTCACGTGTGTATAGAAGTGTGCCGCCACCGACTCCGAGTTATGCATTTAGAACTTGTTCTAAAAATTTGCCTCGGTTGGCTCTCGGCGATGTTCGTTGCTCTCCGCTACTTACACATTCTGTGCCATGCATTGGACTTCCAAAGCAAGTCGATTGGTTACGAGTGTCCTTGTGCCCAAGTCTATTCAGCGAAAGTAGACAGCTGGATCAGCAAAAGATATTTTGCTGTCACGAAAAAACCTTTTGCTGTCTCAGCAAAATCATATAGCTGCCGCGACAAAAATTTTTTGCTCCCACAGCAAAATAATTTTGCCGTGGCAGCAAAATATCTTTTGCTAATCTAGCTAGCCACTTTCGCTGGATTTGGGTATAAAATTTTTTTCAGTGTAGGGCCGAGGGAGAGTTTTTATAAACAAATGACTGTTTCTCGAAAACTGTAAGTCCCCTCGTAACTTTTAAAAGTTCATTTTTTTGTCACAAAAAGACCTAAATTTTGATGTATTGTAAGTTCCGATTGAACTGAAATTGTTTATAATAAATGCGATTGAAAAATGGCCATTTTAGAGAGTTTTTTGCACTTTTCTCGGTAAATTATTAATGTAATCGATCGTGGTTGGGCTCAAATTAAAGGTCTAATTAATAGCTACAACTTTCATCTGAACTTTTTTTCGATTGCTGTTCATATGGAAAAGCCAGAAGGGCAAAAATGTGATTTCTCCACTCTTCTAACCATCCCCTACCCCAATTGCCACTCAAAAAGTTACGCCGCTAAGGGTGCTTGTTGTACTCATCAAGACCAACAAAACCCGTATGGTCCGGTACTGTCACTAATTTTGTCAGAAATAACATTGAATGAGTCTAATTTTACTGGACTATTAGGCATATTTAAGACATTAAGATTGTAAAATGGAGGTTTTGAAAAACTTCGATTTTCAAAAGAAGAAAAAACGTGGTTTTTTGTTCGGTTGGTGGCGTTCGACCGCCCGCGCGCAAAAAACCACGTTTTTCCTTCTTTCTCTCGCTATATCTCGCTAAAATCAAAAAACGCCTCTCTGGAAAAGGTCAATATCGATGGGAAATTTCCTGATCTTTCGATCTAGACTATTTAAAAAAATCTTAAAAAAGAAGTTTTCGAGATAATCGACTTTAAAGTTTTCCCAGCGATTTTCCCGGGTAAAGCGGAAAATCTCAGAAAATCTGACCTCACCATCGGAAAGCTAAGGCGATTTCCCATCGAAACCATGGGTTCGTTTTTTTCTCTAGGTGCATTTTAGTACTTTTACAGCGATTCACAAATTTAGTGATTTGACTTAATTCTGCCGCGCCGCGCGGCACTGGGAGAGTTGATGTGAAATGCCACATATATATGCTGCAGCGCCGGAATTATTTCAAGCATCGCTTTCGTCGAGACCATAGGTCGCATCTTGTTTTTATATCAATTACATTTTCCATTTTACGAATAAAATTTAACTACAACGATTGATTAACGTCTGATAACGTCTTTTCAATCGCGTCAGTATTATAGTTTCAAAATTTCAAGGTGGTATCAATCGCGCTTGTAATCCTTCTCTCCCCCTGAGCGCCATCCCATTTACCTCTGCCAATTTTATTCACCACTGAATTATTCATCGACGCATTTTGCTGCCCTCATCATAGTTCTAGTAGTATAACGCACGTACTACATACATTTTCGCACACTTTCTGCTGGACGCCCCAACTATGCATCAGTGCACTTTTTTACTGCTTATTACTATCGCCAATTTGAACAGCAGCAATAGAAGCACGAAGCGGTGGCATTATCGAAAAAAGATGCAGAGACGCTTTTCTGCACAATTTTAAAACCACACTCATAGACATGGACGTGGTATTCTCCCTTATACTACAAGTAAGCTGAGAGAGTAGCTAGAAAAAAAGTTTTTTTCAGCGATTTTAATTAGCCAGCGCTCTCACTCACTCGTTATCTTGGTTCGACGCAACAAAAAAATCCTTTAAACATTTATCGTGTAGAGTGTGTACACACACAAATTTACGTTGTAAGCCATTTATTATAAGTATTAAACTGCTCATGTTTTTCTATTTCTATGATTTTTTCAGTTTTCGAAGATCCATTGCTTAATACAGCTTGCTTTCCATCTCCTAATTATCATCCAAGGACGTTGTAGTATCACCAATTTGAAATCAATATGCTTAACGAAAACTCGAGTGGCAGCGATGAGTCGTTTGAAGACTTTTCAGATATCCACGTTGAGAAAATAATTTCTCGTGGTGCCTTTGGCTCGGTGTATGTTGGAAAGTACAAAAATACAACGTTCGCCATAAAAATGTTCAAAAGCGATCAGCATGCTGATTACCAAAGAGAGGTGGCATTTACAATGCCATGAATCTGAGGCACCCCAATGTATTGGGTTTTATTGGAAACGCAACCATAGGTAAGTTTAATACACTATATCGTTGCCCCAGAGCAGGAAGGTATCGCTTCCAATTCTGCAGCATAAAGGATACTTACTCGCGCGCAGAGGCAACAAGGTAACTAATTCGAGCGTGGCACCAAAACAGTACAGTTGGCAACGCAGCTATAAATGATAAAATTTTTTTCTGTATTTGAGATAAAAAAAGAAAAAAACATATGAGCTGCTGTAAAGATCTTCATCTACTTGAAGTGCAAGCAAACAAATAGATTTCACCGTGATATTGACTCAATTTGCCACTTTCGGAGAATTTTGCAAGTTCTGAGATGAAACTAGAAGTGATTGTCTTTACGTAACTTTGAATTAAATGTTGAATATTGAATTTTGAAACAAAATTTTATCATTTACGGCTGCGTTACGAGTCAATATTTTCTTGCCACTGCGTTTGAACAAGATACTGTTTTGGTGCCACGCTCGAATGAGCTACCTTTTGGCCTCTGCGCAACCTTTTCAACTCAACTCAACTCAACTCTCTCTCTCTCTCTCTCTCTCTCTCTCTCTCTCTTGACTGTCTTCATGCGTATATCACCTCAGTCGGAGCTCATACCAATACTCACTAAAGAAGATCTAAATGCAGTGGCTTTGAAATCATGATTTTATTCACGTACCCAGCTGAGCTGAGCTGTCTTTTTCATGTATTTTTCTGCCTTCAATTATTCTCTCATATGTTATATTTCTCAATACTTGAAATTTGCTATCATTCGATCTCAAGCTTTCTATTGTTAATTTTGCTTGTAAATATTGTTACTGATCGATATGTAAATATTACCACCATTGCTCTGCAACTGACTGTATTATACTTTTGTATATTTGTTCTTATGGGCCACATGGGGTTCTACCCCACGGTCCGTTTCAAAATAAAACTCAAAACTCAAACTCTCTCTCTCTCTCTCTCTCTCCTAACCGATTGTTAACCACAAGATTCCAAAGTGGTGGGATCGTCGACCGCTGCATGTATATTTATTAATTACCATGAATCGGGGACATTATTTAGTTATCTAAAGAAATACCGTCCGAATAAAGATCAAATGATTTTAATGCTGTCATCTATAGCATCGAGCCTACAACATCTCTATAGCGAAGTAATGACCTGTCAACATTTTCCAAACAAAACATCGATGGCACACAGAGACCTCAAACCACAAAATATACTAGTTAAAGCAAATGGTAGCTGCACCATAGGCGATTTGGGGTTAGCAGTAAGGAAGGACCCAAATACTGGAAAAGTTGATATACCGATAGAAAGTATCGCCGGCACAGTGCGTTATTTAAAATTAGGTGCAGGAAGTTTCGGGACCGTGTTTGAAGCATCCTTCAAAGGACAAAAATTTGCATGTAAATGCTTTGAAACACGGGACCGTACGAACTAGAAGCCGTCATTTTCGAAGCAATTTGTATTAGACATTATAATATTCTTAGATTAATCGGAGCGTTTTAATTGGTAAATTAAATACACTATATCCTCATTTAATAGAAGCAAATTTTTTACTCTGTTTCTCTCTCTCTCCTGATAGATCGTTCAGGGCAAAAGGTGGGATCGCTGACGGCTATAAGCATATTCGTGAACTACCCTCCATAGAGGAGGGGGGGGGGGGAATNNNNGGGGGGGGGGGGGGGAATTAATACTTGAGGGGAGATATTACGGCTAGCTGCCGTTATGTGTTGGGATAAGATGGGAGCCGGTATATATACCCTTGCTTTCAATATCCTACTGCTTGCGGGAACTGTCATCCACAAAGCGACATCTAGGGGCAGATGGTCACACAGGTAAACTATGTACGAAATTTGCTACTTGTTTGTTTTTGTTTTCATCGGGTGCTCTACTCTCTAATTGTGAGCTCTTCGCACATAAAGTAAATGAATAACAAATGCAATTTTCAACTTAAAAATATGAAATAAATTATCTTGTAATTTTGTTATCATTTGTGATGCTCCAGATGTTTGGGAGCGAATCCTACCCAAAATTGAGCTGTATTAGTCCCAATACAGTGATTAATGCTCCCCACACTAGGCAGGGGCACTATACTACTAGCACTAACAATTTTCATGAACTTCTTGAACACTGCTGTTGGTTCAACGCAGACGTCGAGAACGAAAAAATGAACAAAAAAAAAAAAAAACAAAAATGAAAACAGAGGGAAAAGCTCGCGAGAACGCGCGAGACCTTGAATTATGCAAGGCGCGCGCAATAAAACGCGCGTAAAGCGGTGCTTGCACAATGAACCATGAACCGTATACATGAAGTATGAGAGAGAAAGAGAGAGAGAGCTGCTAATCAGGAGTACGGAATCGCCACGCACGCACACACACACACACACACACACAGACACGCGTAAGCTCATTTATCTCACCGTGCCAATATTACTGATCAAGTTTAATTACTTTTTATTTCGTCCCTCGCGCGCTCTATTCTCCCAAGAGTTGACCGATAAGGTAAAAACACCAATTATAGAACGGTTTCGAGGCAGCTTCTTTTCAAACACGTGTATCTACTTGAAAAATTGATAAAACTTTAAAACAAACTTATCATTAGATGCGCTGTACCTTTAATATCGAAATCCCTGTGTTTAAAGTTGTCCTTAATTTTCTTATTTATTTATATAAGTAATATTAACAAAGTATCTTTGGTACCTAATGATGGAATAGATGCAAACTTTTCGCGTTCCAATATTGGAATCAACAAATCAATGGGCGATCTTAACCTGTATTGTTTCACTAAAGGAACACTGCTTTTTTTGGGTGTCTCTATCAATGGAACGCACTTTGCAGACACACTTGATTAATTTATTCCATGATAAAATTATTATCACACAGTTAGCTTCGAAATCATTTTTTATTGATTATACTAATGCAAATTGATACTTTTCAATTGCTTTCAAGATACAAGTTTAACAAAAACTTTATTTATAAGAATTTAATAATCGGTGCTTTTACCTTAGTTAATACTCACACATGCGCAGATGCGTCAAGGCCACAGATATCAGCTCTTTTACACACGATATATCCTATAGAATCCGCGAGTAACCGACAAACAGACACAGAAGTGTTTTTTACATACTCACACGGACACACGTGTTTAAATACTGGACTTGAATAGGTGCGTACAGGAGCGGCGTTTATACACTAAGGAAAAAAATCATTGATTCAATGAAATATTTATTTAGGATACAATCTATGAAATAATTTCATTGATATAATCTTTTTTTATTTTACTAAAGTTTCATCGCTTCAATCAATCATTTGATTGAATTAAGAGTAAATAAAATATTAAATTAGATTTCATTGAATCAATGATTTTTTTTCTCAGTGCATATATTATTACGTTTTCTCGAGTGAAAATTATTTATTAAATTATTAGCTTTAAGTATAGAACTGTCGAGATACGTTTATCACGCGTGTGTGTTGTGCGCGTTCCTATTTATACGTTGTTTTTCCTCGAGGGATTTTTTTTTTCAATCGCGCGCAATCCTTAAAAATCATCGGAGCTGAGAATTGCAACCCTTTGAATACAAAGATCATGATTGTTAATTATCTCGTTATGTTATCGGATTAATCTCTATAAGCTTCTTTCACGTTAAAAATCTTGAAAAAAAAAGGAATCGGCTATTCCACGTTGTTCTCGTCGTTAAACGTGCACGTGTTTGTCATCTATTATCTATCTTATACATTCATTATCTTATAGATGTATCTTAAAGCTATATCTTACAGAATTTTTTTTTTTTTTTTGAGAAACATATGTTTATTCAGTCTAATAGTATTTCTTGTACATATAAATATGTGGCTATAAACATAATACAAAGATGCCAATAATTAAGTCTAATTTTAAACAGAATGATCCATGTAAGATTCTCGCTGCTATTCATAGTTAGGATTGAGTGTTTACAATGTGTTTATATTTTCTTATGATTATATCTTATGCACCTATAGAAAAGCTTGAAAAACTACAGATTTTTTATTTTATTTTCATCTAACAACGTAGAGAAATATTTACAAACTCAACACTAGTAGATAAAACCTTTGAGTATGATCTCATCAGTAGTATGTATGGTAGTAGTATCAGCATGATATTTTTTAATCAGATTGAAATTATTTATATTGATACTTTTGTCCAAATAGTTTCTATCTAAGTAATAACAACTGTGGTTTAAATTGTGGTCAATAATTAGACCCCGCTCATCCAGGAATTTGAATCCCTCAGGTGGCAAAAATCCATGAGAGAGCGATTTTAACAGATTGTTTGTTTTTTTATAGTAAGGGCCGTATATTAAATTATTATCTTTATTCGCCATAGAGCTTTTAATGTATCGCTAACGTGCAATTCGATAACGTGCAATCGTGCACGTTGTTGTCATCTATTATCTATCTATAGATTATAGATGCATCGATGAAATTTCCATAAAGCACAATTGTATTAACATTATTCAATTTTCTTGTTGCAGATTATTGAATAAAAAAGCAAACGCAGTACATCATGGAAATGCACCACGACAATCTTTATCAGCTGGCTAACCAGAATCCGGTTACCACCATCGAGGCCGGCAACGAGTATTACAACATCCTGATCGACACGACGTCGGTGCAAAATGACGACGTGAGTTACCTGCAGGGCGGGCAGGTGCACACCTGGCTGGCCTCCCAGGACTACCAGAGGGAGACGAACAACAACAAAATCACGGCTCTGCCGCCGGTCTCGACGATCACCGGCTCGCTGGGCCATCTGACCACCGCCGGGGTCATCGGGCGCGCCGGCATCGGACTCCAATCCGCCAGCAGCCTCCTAGAGAGCAGCGGCCTCGTCGTCGGCGGCGGCAATGCCGTCGCCAACCTCAACTTCTGGGCGACGGACGACGTGAAGAACGGCAGCCAACAGCAGCGCAGCAGTACGGAGGTAGCGGCAGCGAGGTCGACAAGTACTGCTGGACGACGGCCGTCGTCGACCGGGACGGCTTCCAGCAGCAACCCGCCCTCGGGCAGAACACCGACGGCTCCATCTACACCCTGACCGTGCTGGAGAACAGCGAGCCGAGCTCCATGGACGGCCTCGACTGTCGAAGTCCTAACTCGGCCTGCGTCACCGACAACTGGATGCGCTCGAATCAGCTTTCAGACTTCAACATGGAGTCGATCTTCAACATAGAGGACGCCACGGCCATGTCGGATCACATGAGCGTTGCCGTCGGCTCGGTTAGCGCGAATAACGTCGTCGTGATTGTCGAGCAGCACCAGCAGCATCAACGGGTCGTCGCGGACGTCGGCAACAGCGAGCACTATCCCAGCTCGACTCAAGCCACGACCTTTGTCTCGACCACTCTCAGTCCGGCACAAGAATCCGGCGACAACAACAACGACTGGAAGCTGTCCGACAGAAACAATGCGGAAGAGCAGCAGCAGCAGCAACAATCACAGCCATAGACGCAACCTCAGCAAGAACAAACACAGCAGCAGCAGCAACAAAGCACCGAGTCGGCCGACGAGAGCCTACTGCGAAACGCGCTGCAGGGCAAGATCTACCCGAACAGCGTGGCGGCGGCGTGCGACTCGCAGGTGCTGCGATTCTTGGCGCTGGTGCGCGCTGAGCCCGGTACCGAGATTATTTCCAACGATTTGATTCTGTCGCAACTGGATCTGTCGAGCGGCGTCGACTGCGCCGCCATGGAGTCTTACTGGAATCTCCAGCCGGTCTGCAACTCGACCAGTGACCAGCAGCAGCAACAGCAGCAGCGTCAACAGCCGACGGTTCAGCACCTCGTCTACACCTACGATCCGTGCAACGACAACCTGGGCAGCATCACGATGGCCGCCGCCGATCTCGTCAGTGCCATCGTCGTCCAAACCCCGCCCCAAGTAACCCAGGATATCTCGAGTGAGGGCTTCTTCCTTCGTCTTTTTTTACATATAATTAATATATTTTTCCGCTGTTGTTATAAACGACGATTGTATTTATCTTGCAGCAAACGCAATGCCAGCCGATAGCGGAGATGGAGCCGAACGTGAGCACCAACAGCAACAGCAGCAACGGCAGCAGCAACAACAGCGACAAGAGCAAAAAGCCCCCCAAGAAGTACTAACGCAAGCCCAAGGCAACGAAAGGAAAAGCTAACAGCAACGGGGTCGACGGTGGCAATCCAGCGAGTACAGACAACAACGGTGCCGCCGTCGGCTCCACCAGCACCACCAGCAGCACCACCGGCCGTCGCTCGGTCTCGCCCAAAAGTGGCCGCAAGGAGCGATCCCTGCACTACTGCTACAACTGCCAAAGGGGCTTCAAGGACAAGTACAGCGTCAACGTGCACGTGAGAACCCACACTGGCGAGAAGCCCTTCAGCTGACACCACTGCAGCAAGTGCTTCAGGCAGAAGGCCCATCTGGCGAAGCACCATCAGACCCACAACCCAAACGGCAAGAACGGCAACGGTCGCAAGCAGGCCAACAGCCCGAGCTCGACCGTCACGTCGTCCGTCGTGCAACAGCAGCAGCCACAGCAACGACAGCCGCATCAGCAGCCACAGCAGCAGCAGGTCCAAACCAGCGACTCCGTCATCTACGAGGCGACCATCAACGAAGTCGCCTCGGCCGAGACAGATATCCTCGACAGTTAGATACGTACTCCGAGCGCAGACTATCATCGACTGACCGTGGCTGCAGCGACAAACCTATAGATTAAGAAAATTTTCATATCGCACGTTGCGCGTTTTTTTTTCTATTGTGTTAAAAAAAACGCATCGTGTTAAATGTTATCGTAATTTTTTGCACGGCGATCACTGGTCGACATATACTTTTATGATATAGTTACCAAACTATTTGACGCCAATGTTGATCGTATACAAAATGAATGAATTTTAAAATAATGCCAATGTAAACGATCCCACAAGACATTGGTCTTTTTTATCGTAATTATATTCTCGATCGTTGCGTAATTGTAGATTTTTGTTTGTTTGTTCGTTTATTTATTGAACGTGGAAATGATTTAATAGGTTTATGTAGAAACGCAAGCACGAACAAGCATAATATAAAAAAATATGAATTGTTGCGAATTCGATGGGAAAGATCCTCGTGTACATCGGTGACATGCCATTTCGAAACTACGTATTCAGAAAATATGATACGTAACTGTACATCTCGTTGAGATTATGAATGCAGCTGGCTTTGATTTATAAATGAGGTGCTGATATGCATGCCCGTCACATCTTAACGTGAACGAGCGTCGCTCGCGCTCGTGATTTTCAGTACAAAAGTGACAATTTATTTACATTTACTTTTTTTTATACTTACACACTCAATTATGAATATTGCTCCCATTTGTATGTATAACGTGTATTCATGAAGTAGTTAAATATGCTTTCTTTCTGTCGAAAATAAAAGGATATCCGACTTGCCAAGCAATATGTGTCGCAGTTTTTTTAAAGAGACGAAGCGAGTGATGGCCCATTTTTTAAATTTACATACGCATAGACTGAGATTCTTTCTCTTTCATTACACGCACTTGTAGATTTATTGCATTTTTTTACAAATATTTACTATAGATTATCATACTTAAACATACAGTTTATTAACTTTTAAAGAAGTAGTATTTGGAAGTGGCCCGAGCCACCGAACGAGGCGTGAAAAATTAAATGATATATTGCGGGTGTTTTTGCGGATTCAAGAGTATAAAATATAAAAAAACAGGGTGAATAAACAAGATTAGAGTAAAAGTGGATACCTTAAAAGTTAAATGCAATATAAATGAATCGAGATTATGTTTTCCAATGATTCAGTTTGAAATAATGGTTACAAATTAGTAACTGATTAAGAGGATCAACTTGACAATTATTATAGTGATAGAGTATTGCTAAAATTTATACATGTTGTTCCTATAAATTGACTTGCGCGCAAACAAATATAAAATGAAAACTGGTTTTATAATCAAAATGGCTGAAATAGCTCAATTTATAATTTTAATGAAAAAAGTACAGAATTGTTAATTTTGTTTAAGTTAATACTCAAATTCTTTTTAAGAAAAATACCATAATCGGTTCCGTCGATTTTATACTCATATAACTATTGTATGTGAATGCATAGATATATAACTAGAACTGTGATCTAGGAACATGTACGATAATCGCGGAATAAAGTTAATCGAGATTCGCATAGAAAGTGTATAGTTGTATCGGTTATAATTTTATTAAACTTCGGCTACGTGCTGAGAAATTTAAAAAAATTGTCGAGTTTTCAGAGCGATTACAAATTCAATTTAATCACCTTATTTCTTCTAAACCGATTGTGAAGTTTTAATGAAGAAAAACGTGTCGTTTAGCATATAAAAAATTGCCCATGGAAGGCTGAAGAAAACTTGGCAAACTTTTGAGAAAAGTTTATCGTAAGCTTTGTGATTTAAAGAATTATTTATCTTTTCTGAAATTCTATTCCAACTTTATTTTGCATTTGCATTTTTGAAGAAAAATTTGAATTGTAAAATATTCAGTTAGTGATAGTAAAAAATAGAATTTTTAATCTATTAATGTGTTTTAAGATAAAAAACCGCTGCCAATTCATTGGCAAAGAGCTTCCTCATAAAAAGTAATATTAATAAAACGCATCAGTTATTAACGAAAAATTTTGTATTTTTGAATTTTGATTCACTATCTAGTGTCTTAACTACCAGACAAGAAAACAAAAACTCATACAGACATTTGTTGAGAATTGGATGTAGTTTACAAATATACAAACCAAATTGTCCTACGAGGTCTGGTTCAAAATCTCGTTTTCGAGCCTATCACAGAGCTTCCTCTATGAGGAAGCAAAATCAACTTTTCATTTCGAGTCGTTAATTTTAATAATATTCGGTGAATTACTATTTTTTTGGTCTTGAATTAAAGCCTGACTGCTCTGCTTCCATTCTACCGAAAAAGAAACTAAAAATTCCTTTATGCAATAGTACGACGAAAAATGTCTTTTTTCGCACATTTTTTAGTGCGCAAAAAGCGTTTTTGGACACTTGTGTGCGGTAAAATGCCTCATTTCGACACTGGTGTGCGGTAAAATGCCTCATTTTGGACACGGGTGTGCGGTAAAACGCCTCATTTAAATGAACGTATTTTTCGCCTACTATTGCATAAAATTTTGTATGCAACACGTGCCCAGCTTTTTGCGCACAGTGTGCGGAAAAAACACCCACTCGTGATGGCACGGCCGGCACTCGTGTCTTTTTCCGCACACTCGTGCCCAAAAACGCCTTTTGGGCGCTTGTTACATAAATAACTATTATTTATACATGAAAAAAAATCGAAAAAAAATTTTTTTTTCAAATTTACAAAATGATCTGTAATGGAGACTCAGTTACCAAACTTTATCAGAAGTTGTATTTTGGTGTATCGATGAGCATATTACAATATGGGCTGATTTGAGGTATACGAACACATTTATTCTTAGACTTTGATGGTCTTTTGCTCTATTTTTTCAATTTTAAGGGGTTTTGAGCTTATGAATGTCTCATCTGAGTACAGATTTGAATTCTACATCAAATTTTACATGAAAAAACATGGTTTAAAATTTTTTTTATATCCACCCCAAAAAAGCAGAGTAACAAGCAGAATATCCTCAAAACATAAAAATCCAACTTTGAGTCCATGTAGATCCATGAGGGTTGGACCTAGGGGGCTGTGCTCTTCAGGATTTTCATTTTTCATTGTGTTCTTGAAGAGTAAATGGTTAGTTTCAACTTCATTTTTTGGGCCTGCAACACCTGTTGTGGAATAGCCCACTACAAACGACAATGAATGCAATTGAAATTTATACAATCCACCGTAACATTTTCGAGATTTTGCTTCGGACATCCGCACACACACACACACACACACACACACATACATACATACATACATCGGCCTCCTTGGCTCAGTGGGTATAGTTCTTGCCTGCTGATACAAGGTACGCCGTAGGGCGTGGGTTCGATCCCCACCGGACGAATTTTCGAGGTTCGTTTTTTCGCCTGGTGTGGTCGAGCCTGTGCCTGAGGTGGAGCGGGTACCACTCAAAAAGAAGACCCGGGCTATGTCATCAGCCTCCGAAGCGGTAAAAAACCCCGATCACTGTGCGAGCTGGAAGCGATAGGAAAACCATAAGTAGGAGCCCGAGGCGAGGACTCACAAGGCTGGCAATAGATGGAGCACACCACTCCCATGATGAAGTCGGAAGCGAGAACTACACTCACAAGAGGGCGCCGGATGCGAGAGCCAAGGCTCTGGTGGAGCGCATGACGGCGCCTGAAGCGAGAACCACACTCACAAGACGACAACAGAAAAAAGGAGGAGCACTCACAGGGTAGCGCCGGAAAGCGAGAACCACACTCACAAGATGTAGCCGACAGAGCAAAGCGGCGGACTTGCCATCGGCTGCAGAAGCGAGAACCACACTCACAAGATGGCACTTGACAGCGAGTCCTAAGAAGAGAGGCCCAACTCAGGAGGAGATGCCAGCAATGCGTGACCACGCAGACGGCTCTGAAAAAGGGGATACGACAATCGACGATGGCAGCGTGCAGGATCGGAGGTTCACCAAGAAGATAAAGATGAGTCCCTGAACCCCTAATTGTCGCATATCACTATGCGACGGATGGGGGATGTATGGAAAACAACGACTAACAGGAGTAGCAGAAATGCTCAACTAACCCCGGCCTCACCGAAGCAATGCCTAACNAAAAAAAAAAAAAAAAAAGGAAAAAAAAAAAAAAAAAAAAAAAAAAAAACATACATACATACGGACATTTGTTGAGAATCGGATGTAGTTTACAAATATATAAACCAAATTGTCCTACGAAGTCTGGTTCAAAATCTCGTTTTCGAGCGTATCACAGAGCTTCCTCTATGAGGAAGCAAAAAAGTCATTTTTGATGTTCACAAAATACTTAGTAAAAATGTGCTCGAATATTTAGTATGCGACTGAACTGAAGGTTTTTATTTTACAAACGTGTATTTTTGTATAAAAATTCAATCAAAAATGTGATAGTTTCGATTATTGAAAAAAACTCATGAATTTTTGAATTGTACATACTTTTACAGAAATAAAGCGAAAAAAATAAGAGTGATAACAAATGAGAAAAGGAAACTTGATTAAATTAACACATACTTGGTGACCTCTCAAATAATATGATTATTTTATAATCCTAGATACCATGAAATTTTATGAGATTAACGTTTGATAGTCTAGAGTAAGAAATGTAAGAACAATTTTATTTTTTATCGCCGAGCAATGAAAATATTTCCAATGCAAACAGTTGACATCGCAATTTTTCCATGAGAACTTCTGGAATTTAGTGTGCGAATATTTTGAATATTTGATTAAGAAAATTAGAAATCAAAACATCTCATGATTGTTTGTAAGTAATAAAATGTATAAGAAAAAATATACTATTTTGCTTTCACAATAAATATATAAAAAGATATGATAGTTTATATGAAGCATTTACACGAGAGGATGTACCTTTCTGAAACAATCAGTTACCATGGTAACAAACGTACGTAAAAAATTTTTTGATCAAATCGAAAAATGTACATGAAATTATTATAAAAACTTATATTCTTAAAAAATAATTTAGAAGCGTAGAGTTAATCATTTTAAT